ATCAATATCTATTCATCCAGCTTTGATCACCGGTGACTAGCACCGCTGAAGAAGTCTTTTTGGTGATCTATGAAGGCTTTCAACTACTACATACTCTAAGGATATCTCATTACCCTCATCTCGCAACTGACAGGTCGCACGATCACGTGTTCTCCAAATTACGGTTATAACTGAAGTATTCAATAAATATTCAACAGTTTATGAGTTCTTTATTGTAAACATTTTCATTTGACATGATGGACATATTCTTTTCCGCCGCAATCGTACTGGAGCGTCTGGTGACATTCTTAAAATAGAACAGGGTGATCTGCTGCATTGTGAACGTACTGGGTTGGCAATAAAGATCGTCGACAAAAACAAAAACTTTTTCAAACTCTTGCTACCAATTTCTCGATCACCCAAACCTATATTGACCAAAGTCACCGATGAACTTCCCCTACCCCTTGGTAGATTACTGCTCTCTGTTCCAAATAACTGATGCTTTAGCAACCGAAGCAGCTAGTGGTGGAAGCTACAAGGTCTAGAGGATACTGTGCATGAGCATCCGGAGGTCTCTAGGACTTTGAGTAGTGTCCAGAAGTGTCCCGAGCGATATTTGGACCCGCTTTAGCGTAGTCACAATCCCTCATAATTGGTAGGGCGTATGAGGGGCATAGCTTAGAGGGCAACCAAGGCAGATTTCCTATCACTCGTAGCGAGCTTAGGATAGCATCACTGTTGGAACAAGGCTACTCTGGCTGCGCTCAAACACGCGCCGCGTCACATGCCCTGTCGTTTGCAGAGATCATGACTGTACTTAATTGTCAGGGACGTTTTCTCTCTAACTACGCCAAACAATTTAATAGGTTTCTGTAGAAGGGGTTTAAAAGGCCTACGATAGATTTCGACAGCCTACGTTCAGCAGTTCATTGTGGACCGGTCGTATCATACCTCTCCACCCCGGGAACTAGAGAAAAAATCGGGGCTGGCGAGGTTCCGACATTGGTCAAATTGGTGTCTCTGCTGTGGGAAGCTGAACACCGCTTAGTTCTGTGTTTCTGTTTATCCAGCTTTGAACAGCGGTTGGTTACCAGCAGCGCACAAAAAACCTTTTGGTTTCCATGAAAAAGCGAAGTCTCGAGGATGTTGATACGAACATCGAGTTCTTGAGTATCGAAAGCACTGCGTGCAGCCCCTTACTTACGTTTCGATATGTTTTTACATCTCGATGTTTTTGTCGACGACCTTTCCTGCCATTTTATTATGAACATTGCTAAGGCCGCGTTCATACTTGGTGACTGCAGAATAGGTTAGTTAAGATAGTGCTCACGAAAGGAGTGGACGGGAATTGGTCGACTCCGGTCGATAACGAATTAGGAAAAAGGAGGATAGGTAGTCAATCAATTCCCGTCTGTTCCTTTGACTGCACTCTTCTATTCTCCCATATCCTTTCTATGGCGTGCACTCTCTCCCATTGTCTCTATCTACTGCCCGGTGTCGAAAAGTATGAATGCGGCCTCATTCAAACGACTTTGTTCATAGCGGTTATCATGTTTTGAAAGTGTAACTAACTTGGTTTTGCAGCGACGGCATGTCGGCGTAGATTTTATATGTCGTAAAAGATGCTGCACGAGAAGTAAGGTTGAAGGCAAAAACTCGAATGA